CAATCGCCTGGGGGCTCCATTTGATCTCACAAGCATCGCTGGAGACACAGGAAGAGACTGGAATGGTGAGGAGATTCCTAACCAGAACATGGCAGGTAACTCATCTCTTGGATTTCATGGGTCCACACGTTGAGAAAATTTGTGCGCCAAAAATTTTATTCAATGGATTATACCCAGAGGCCTCATCTAAACCGGGTTTAGGTTGTTTAAATATTGTGATCTTGGACTAAACTGGCAACAAGATGAGGGTGGAAGATCTAGAGGGGTTGAGTGCCTTGTGTGTGTGTATGCAGATGTAACTCACTGGGACTGTCCCAAAGGGACAGGAGGGTGGTAGCTGGAATTCTAAGATGATCCCCAGTGGCCCTCACCTGGTATAATCTGCTCCCCACTTGAATGTGAATGGGACCTGTGCAAATGATGTCATTCTGATTATGTTTTCTTATGTAACAAAAGAAATTTTTGCAGATATAAATTAGTCTACTAATCAATTCACTTCAGATTCATCCAAAGGGGGATTACCCAGGCGAGCATACCTAAACACACAAGTCAAATTTTCAAAGCACAAGGAAGATTTTGATGTGCCCTGCAGACCTGAAGGTACTGGTGCCACCTGCAAGAGATATGGATATGCTCTTGAACTTTGGAGTCAGTGTGTACAGAGCAAGCGAAAGTCAGTAATGCATTTCAGGATGTACTGTTGCTCCTAACAACATAGTCCTTACACCACTGGCGGGGCCATGTGCCCAGCTATGAGGGACTGTGGTTTGCAGCGTCCCTTGCAGACAGTACAGCTACATCATGAAAGATGAGAGAAGATCCTGCTGGGACTGCAGGAAAACTCCACAGAATGACACTACGTGTGGGGACACCTCTATCCTCTCTTCTCGCTAGCAATGAAGATGGGATGCCAGTGGCTCCCACAGTCATGCTGCACCCAAGGATGAAAGGCAAGGACTTAGAATAGTGGGGCTCAAAGCAGAAGCCTGGGTCACAGGTGTCCCAGGAAGCTACCTTCCCAGACCTGAACTTAGTATTAATACCTGTTCTGTGAGGAAAAATAAAGCTGCACTGCATTCAGGCTACTGCCTGGCTAAATGCAATCCCTGGCTGATTTTTAAGATATCACTTAGGTAGCCATTTTTATTTTATAAAATAGTTCACAGATACAAAATCATTTATAATCTAGACGAATAACAAAGCAAGTACTATGGCAGCCACCACCCAGTCTAGGAAATATGGACCCCTCGGCCTGGACACTCTCCCACCTCCCACCCAACCACAGGGATTCTGTGATTAGCGGACCTTTCTTTTTTATTTATAGTTATACCATCTGTTTGTGTAACCCTAGATTATACTGCTGCACTTTGTCAACTTTACGTAAATTATATCGGCAATCTGCTTTGTTCTTGGCCAGCATGAGACACATCTATACGGATGGGTGGGGCTATGGTTTAATTTCACAGATTTATAGTACGCGAGGCATAAATGCACCACTGCCCACCACCACCACTGTGCACACCCATGGACACATGGGTTCTCAGGCTTTAGGCCCTTCTAGAGCACTGCTCGGGTATCTGAGGGACCAAGTCTCTGGGAAAGGGCTTCCTGGATTTTCTGACAGGGGTATACAGAGAAAATTATGACAATTACATGGCACACTGGAGATATCCAGAGGGTGTGGAGGGTTCTGGGCACTGCTTTTGCCCACAGACTCTGGCCCCACACACCAGTACCCACAGCGGGATTTGGAGCCTGCCAGCAGAACCTGAGCCCAAGCTGTGGGCCTGCCACCAGCACCAGGTAAGACCCGGCTGTTCCTCGTTCTCACCAAACCTACATTATTGATATCCTTTTTAACTTTCATTTAAATTTTTCCCTAGCTGGCACAGTGGTGTATACCTTTAATCCCAGCTACTCAGGAGACTGCGGCAGAAAGATCCCAAGTTCAAAGCTAGCCTGAATAACTTAAAAGAGAACCAGTCTCAAAATTAATATTTTAGTAAAAGGGCTGCAGGTGTAGCTCACTGGTAAAGCACTTTTCCAACATGTATTAGAGACCTTGGGTTCAATCCTCAGAGCTACTATAAAAACGTTTTCTTGGGCTGGGGATTTAGCTCAGTGGTGCTGTACCTGCCTCGGAAGCACAAGGTCCTGAGTTCAATCCCTAGTACCACAAAACAAGTTTTTCTTGGTCTTAATTCATATTTTTTTCTTATTTCTAACAAAATGAGCATCTATTACTATTTACTGACCATGTAGAGTTCCTCTTCTGAGAAATGCCTATGAATAGTCCATTTTTCATTGGCTTGTTTGATCTTTTAAAATACAATTTTCTTTTGCCATCCTTAATGTATTCTGGACAAGTAATCATTTGAGAATTATATGCATTTTCCAATTGTCAGGCGGCGGAAACTATAATCAGTGTCCAACAGATTACTGACGGCAAACAACACGTGTGTGGGCATGGATGACAAATCCAATCAGGCCATCTGCCAATGTATTGTCTATGTCTGCTTCTACTACAAGGCAGAGTTAAGTGGTTGTGACAAACCACATGGCCTCACAGAGCTAAAAACAATTCACAGACCACTAAAGCAGATTGTATTTTTTAAAAAATGGTTCACCCATTCCCACTCTGGTGTGGTGGTACACACCTGTGATCCCAGCTCTTGGGAGACCAAAGCAGAAGGATCACCGTGAATTGGAAGCCAGCCTGGACTACACAGTGAGACCCTGTCTCAAAAAAAAAAAAAAAAAAAAAAAAAAAAAAAAACACAAAAAAATTTCCCTTCTACTTTTTGTCTGCACATATCAATTAAAGAGCTGCTTCTAAATTTCCTATGATAATGATACATTTGGCAATACCTGTCAATCTCTGCTAAACTTCATGTTGAAACTAATTTATCAGGTGCAAAGAAGTTATAAATTATAAAATTTTCCTGTTCAATTATTTCTCCTATCATTAATGAAGGCTTTCTTGTCCCCAGAATTGCTTTTGCTTTGAAACAATTTAGTCTGTTGCCATGTCAACCTCTTTTTATTAGCATTTTTCCTCATTTTCATATCCTTACATTTTGGATGTGTCTCTTAAATAAAACAGCACACTGCTGGACTTACTTTTTCCTGGTGTCTGATGTTGTAAGTCTTTTAGTCCAAAAACTTCGTCCACTGTCATGAAGGATGTGTCTGGTTTCATTTCTACCATGGTACTGTTTCCTTTCCCTCACAGTTTTGTTATTGTTGTCTCCCATCTTTCCTGCATTTTGTATTGCTTTACCTCCATTTTTAAATCTTTATTTGAAATTTTAACTCTTCTCATGTTTCCCCTAACATTACACCACACACTTTATATACTTAGTAAAGCTGAAAATTGAGTATCTTGCCCCTCCTTCAGAACAATGTGAGAACATCTGAATTATTATCACATTTAAACATTACTGCCCAGTATTTTAATTTCATTTTGTTCATTTGCCATTTTTTTATTGTGTTTGTAATGGAGAAATACATTATATGTTTTCAAAATAGTGCTTGAAAATACAGGGAGTACAGATACTATGTAACCAACCAAACTCCAGTCATGAGACACTACATACATCACATGAAAAAATAATCTGATATCCAGATAATAATAACTAGAATTAAAAAGTTCCAAGTTTCCAGCTTGGTAAAACAAGTACAGTTACATTAAACAGTTAATAAACTAATCTTTTCCAATGTATAAACAAATTGACAAAACTAAAGTTGTGCCTGGAAAATTCAACCAAACACAGAGCTACTGAAAATACAGATGCTGTGCACATTTCACCTGATTTATTACTGCGGTAGAAGGGTTAGGTGATGGCACAGGGCAAAAATGTGAGAAACAGAAACTGTACATACTAGCATCTGAACATCTCAATTACTGCATAGCTTAAAAGAAAAAAGACTATACCTCAACTGTGGAAAGTTAATCTAGGACAAGGGGAAAGTAATGCTGCTTAACATGAAAAAAAATGCAGGTGTGGCAGAGAGGTACACAGTTGGGAGTATGGAAAGACGAGCCAGGCTAGCTGGGGAGCTGCGTCCACATTGACAGTTTTCACCCATCTACATCCGTTGTTCCTCGTGGTTCCTAAACATGGATGTTCTGCTGCTTTATTAGGAGAGATTTTTTTTAAAAAAGAAAAGTGTTCCTAATCTGTGGCAGAATAAAACAAAACCATAAAAAGCCAACTACATGTCAAGAACTTTCTAGAAATTATTTTTATAAAACAGATAAAATCTAATGAATTGTGTCAAGGCATTTAAAAATAAAAATTGGTTTAATATTTGTGAAGAAAATGCTCTGTTTGCCCACATTTAAAATTGGCAATCATCTTTCTTATAAAGCAGGTATCCTGTGGAATTTATGAAACTTCTCACATATAATGATCAAATGGCCATCACAGAACAGCAACATATTTCACAGGCATTACATTAAGTGAAGATTTACTAAAACGTTAGCCATGGAATCTGAATTTGTTTTGTGCTATGTGGCCATAAGATTGTTGATTTCACATCATGGTTTAGAAAATAGTAGTACCCTAGGGTTTGTTTGTTTTTTTTTAAACAAAACAACACACAAGCATACCTGCACACATAGCAAACCGAAGAGGGTGGAGGCAGAAAGCTTTTTGTTTTAAAATGAAATGACTGAAGACAAGAATATGGAGCTCTGTAAAATCAGAGAAAATGTCTGGTCGCTGATTATACACTGTCTAAATTCTATAGATAAAACCAAAGTGTTATTTCTTGATCACATCCCATCAAAACCAAAGACACAGGAATTAATGTTTTGATGTCATATATACCCTAAGGGTTGACATTTCATTTTAAAGGATTGTAGCTATCTCAGAATGACTGAGCAAAGTTACTTTTGTGCTTTCTCCGAAGTAAATCGCCCCACTGCCCAATGGTCTCTAATTTTAAGATTAATCGTGAAGAAACCACTCCAGGAAAACAAATTAATCGTGAAGAAACCACTCCAGGAAAACAAACACAAACAAACAAACAAACAAACAAAAAACTAAAATTCACCAAGTTAAAATCCAAAATTTGCTCTAGTTCCTAACTTTAAAAAATATAAAGTACATCATTAATAAAAAGAATTCTGATACTAGTTTGTATTACAAATTTTCCCAACAATGCATCAAACATAGATTCAGTCCAGATGACAGTCATGGCTATAAATATAGCTCTTTTTTAAGTGTAGTAGTCTTTTGTAATAAGATAACGTGACTGTTGCTGACTCATTAATAATCTGAGGCATTAATAGTACTCATAGCTTCATATACTTAACTTCTGGTCAACATTTGGCCAGTAAAGGAAGTTAAATGAGCATAGATCTATTTTGAGTCATACCTAGCCTGGTACCCTAACTCCTTCTGTAGCATCTCAAAACAGACTGACTTGCCAGATAGTTTGTGGGCCCTTGGGATTGTTTCTATCTGCTCAATCTGTTTCAATGAGTTTTTGGTAGCAGGAATAAAATCTGCAGGGAGAGCAGGGATCCTGGGTCTATCTGTGCTAGAAGTTTCCTGGGAGGCCAACAGAGAAGCTGCTGTCTGAACAATTTCTAACCTAGCTGTGCTTATCTGTCTGGTTGCCCCCTTTCTTTGGTTTTCTTGGCACATTCTTCTTTATGAGGTGAGATGTCCTCTAGACACCTACTATAGGGTTAGGTATGTTTGTTGCTGTATTTCCTGAAGGTCTAGGAGGATGGTTTACCAGATGTGTTGAAGGAACAACTCTAGTGACTGTGGGCTTTGTTGGTGGAGAAACAGTAGGTTGTAAGGGAGTTTGAGAAATGCTTTCACTCAGTGCAACCCCTGAGGTTTCACTAGGATTCACCTGTTGCAGAGAAACTTCAGGAGCCGGCATATTGGTCACAGAAGCTGCCATTACAGCCAGAGCAGGGCTGTTTCTGTCCTGAGTGCCAGTAGGTAAAGGCACTGTTAAGATGTTTTCACTGTCTACAGACAAACAGAGGCTGCTGTCATCCATAGCCGCCAATCTTACACCTTCTGCTGAGTGTGTTTTCTTTTTCTGAAGAACATGATCAGGAAGTAGTTGATGAAGTTCCTTTTTCCTTAAATGCATTGCAGCAATTTTCATGTCCACCTCATACATCTTACTATGTACTGCTTGTCTATAAACTGTATCTGTAAAAGACTGAATATCATAGGTGAGATCAAGGTTGAGAATTTCGGAGTTTTCTGGCTTTTTTAACACTAACCCAATCACCCACATTGTACTAAATTCTTCCTTGTCCGGATTTTCCTTGGGTGCTGGAAATGACTGGGGATTCACATGTGCCAGTGTAATAAATTCATTTTTCTCCAAGCTCCCAACCAGGATTCGGATCTTTGATTCCACCAAGCCCACCCATTCTAGATGTTGTTTTTCTGTTGGTGCACTTGCCAGAAGCATAATATAATGCTTGTACTTTTTAAAGAAGCTTGGAGCTTCAAAGAGTTTGGACCACTCTGCCTTATTCAGCAAAATTTCATGTGTGATAGCAAGCCCCTGCTTAAACTCCTCAATCATGACCATCCTGGTTGAAACAGACACATTGTAAGTAGAGTTCTGCTGTGGATATGCTGGTGTAATTATAGGCATAAGATGGTAGCGATCACTGGGATTTACCCTTGGGTCCCACACAGGCAAATTAAGAGTTCGTTCCTCAGGCTCTTTCAGTAACACTGGATTTGGCCATTCCCATTCAGAAAACACCAAGAAAAATTTACGTACAAGAGTTGATGCTACTGCGTTTGGATAAAGCTGGCAAGTTCTTGCTACTAGCATGGCCCAGGAAACACCTCCAAGGAAACCTAATATATTCGAATAGATATTGTGGCATTTGGCCCACAATTTGATGGCTCTCAGAGTTAATCTAAAGTTGTCAATATTTGGTACTAGATGTAAAATTTCATCAGTTACTCGGCAACCATTAAGACTTCTTATGCATCTAATATCTAAATTTTTAAGCAGACTGTCATCTCTTAGGTCCAAATCTTCTGGAATAGTCTGCAATGCTAACCTTGCAAACAAAATATCAATCTCTATCCCAGCAAAACACAGTTTGATAACTGGTACAAATGCCTCCTCAACAGCCCTTAAATTTTTGACTTCCTCCTGTAGTTTCAATTTCTCGTAGAAAGAGGTGAAAAAGTCGCTCCGATCAACATGTCTCGGGGCAACACACAGAGCATCAATATCAGCCCCTTTCGTGTGGACTCCTAGTCTGTAAGAGCCGAACGTGAAAAGTTTGCCCCCAACATTTTCAAGGATAGGTTGGGGAAGGTTCTTGCTTTCGCTGATTTCTCGTATCCATTCCTTCACCAGATTGTTTAACTTTTCCAAAATTAATGTCCTGCGCTGCAGCTCCTCTTCCTCCTCGAACACCCCAAAAGGCTGCAGGGTCTCGATGAGCCTCTGGGTGAGCTCGCGGTCAGCATCCCTGGGAGCTGCCAGGCTGACGGCCGCCGAGAGGCCGAGGCGCTCCCGCG